TATCTTGGCTAATTTCTTGGATCCAGCACTTAAGAAGTCATAAGGCTGCATCGATCCTGTTATTCTGAGGTCGATCAGCATATAAACATCGACCAAAGTGATGGTCATTGGGCCATGGCAAAAAATGAAGGCATTTAGGGTGTTGGACCAGAAATAATATGCAGCGATCAGGAGTGGATCATTCCTCTCTATTCCAGACAACGAAAGTGTCAAGCATTGATTCAGATTATAAAGCTCCCAATCTCCACCCTTTTTCTCGAACACCCTACGAAACCAATCCCTCCATCTCTTAGGCATTTTGGATCAATTTCTGAAGGAAGTCTTGGTGTTTCAGGAAGATGAATCCACTATAGATTGTTTGAAGGGAATTTGGTTGGTTTCTTGACAGATAAAATCAAATGAATCATGGTCACCCATAGGTCCAAGAAAATAAACATTGGGAGCACTAGCCGATGAAATTAAGATTTCGTTCCTCATTTCCTAGAAATCAGATAAAATAAAATTGAGGAACAGGGAAATGCAGAATAGCGGTCGATACTTGGAGAATGGGAACTCGAAAGCATACCTCGGGGACATGGTCGCTGGTGGCCATTGCAGCCGAAATGGATTTGAATCTGAAGAAGATCGTTCAAATGAAAGCTTGATGGGGCAGAAGATTTGCTAAGGTTGAAGCCTTGGCGATGACAGTGTCGGCTGTTAGGATTTGTTCGAGAAAGAAAGGGAAAGCAAGCGAGTCGAGTGAGTTGGAAAAGATACCATTGGGATATTATATAAAACTCGGACCAAGAAGTCAGGAGTCACGCGTATATCTCGAAACGAAACGGTTGCGGCGTGGTAAATAAATAAATAGGATTTTTGGAATAAAATCATTTTTATCATAAATTAGGGGGCATGTGTTTACACCAAAATTTGAGAAGAAAAACGCGGGAACTCGAAGATTTCAAAATTGTGTCGATCAAGGAATCGATTGCATGAGGATCGATATCAGCTGATTCAGATGCGACACTGGAATCGGCTCTCTTTAGATGACATCAGCAGATAATGATAATGAGCTACAGTTGGCGTCGAGAAATACATATCGGACTTAAAAAAGAGAAAGATTAGGGTCTAAGTTATCTTAAGATAGTAATGTTTTTTTATAATAAAGATTGTAATGAGTCGTACTTGGGTAGGATTTATGTTTAGGCTCTGGGTATAAATATTGGACTCTGGCTATTGTAAAGGACATCCAATCAATCAAATATAATTTACTTTTTTCGGCTCCGTGCCAACCCTTAGGAGGAGTGGAGTAGATCTCGGCGAGTTCTTCAGCAAGTAGGGCTGCATCGGTCCGACCGACCTCCGGCTTGTCTGTAAGTACCGTCATGGCTTATACTTCTATTTGTACGGCTGCATCGATCCGGTCGACCTTCACTGCGAACTCTAGTATAAGCTAGTTATCGACTCTTGTCAAGTTCAAGTACGGCTGCATCGATCCGGTCGACCTCCACTACTCGAACTAGATTAAGGTTAAGTTATCGGCTCTACATAAGGGTGACGTCCTTCAGGTAGATTCATTAAGTTACCGATCTTGCTGATGTTCTTATTGTTATTAGTTTGCAGCAACATCAATCTGTTCGGTCAGGATCGATTTAGATCGGCCTCATATCCTTCTAGTCCGTCGTTTGCCTTGTCACAACACGATGTTTCTTACTTTGAGCGACGGGTTATGTTTCATCGGCTGTTTTTACTTCGATCTTGATCGTACATAGTATGCGGTTAAGGCATGTGTGATCTTAAAGAGGTTTGCTGGCTAGTTAAATCTGGTTTATGGTTCGCTATTATGGCTGTAACGATCCGGTCCATCTCCACTGATAACACTTTAGATTGGAGGATGCTAGTTGGTAGATTTGTTCTCGATCAGGCATGACCTTAACTGTTTGGTATGCCTGCATCGGCTAAATAGCCGATCGCCTATGCTTTAATGCATACAGTGTGTGTTCATGATTCTGTTAAATGTGAATAGATTTGTTTACTTTAAAGGTTTGATTTGTTGTCTTTATCACGACTGCATCGATCCGGTCGAACCCCACTGTTAGATAAGGTAGGTTAAGTCTGATGAGTTCATAGGTTTGTCCGCGTGAAATAGTCGATTGTTCACACGCTGTAGTTCTTTCTCACCCGAATCGGCTATACCTGAGCCTTCACGTATAGCATGTCTTTCGAAAAGCCTGTCGAAGTATAGATGGTTTTACGGATTCTTCGGTTTTAGTTTTTTATTATCATCATAGATGTCATCGATCCGGTCGAACCTCACTGTTGATGCTAACAGATTAGATTCAGAATGTTTGTAGATCCATTTGTATTAGATAGTCAATTTATTCGCATGTTATATCCTTTCTCGTTAGATTCATCGGCTCAATGATTCACACTTGTAATATCTACCTAGCTGATGATCTCATTTACATCTACATGTACTGTACCTATCAACATAAAATCAATCGATACCCACGAACTTTACAGTCTGTAATAGCCGATTTCTGTGCGTATCGGCTATTTAGTCGTTTTTTCCGTTTGGCTGCTCCCGAAGCGGCACACTTGGAACTGTCTGGGCACAGACCAGCATGTTCCACCTTAAATTACTGATAAACTTTCTCTCCTTGTCAATTACAGGTCAAATTGACTGGCACGTCTCGGAAGGAATTCGCAGGATTGGTTACCCCTGCGTTGAAGCCAAGCGGATCTCCAGCCTTGCTCCATCAAGCGGATCCTTCTGGCTTGCCGTGTGTCGACACACATTTTCGTGCCGACACAAGTTTTGTAGATGAAGCCCAATCTAGCTAGCAGCAAATCATTACTTTCTTGAATTGAATGACGAATTTTTTCATTCAGATATGTCTTAGATTTTTATATTGTTTTATTAGTGAGTTCCAATAATTCGCGCTTAGGTGGACGTTTGGATTTCTACAGGTTTTCTTACGCTATGATCGCTTCTTGTAGGTTCGATCAATGAGCAGTCCGTATTTGTTGGTAGCTTTCCTGTGAACTGCTGTAACTGGATTCCGTGCTGCCTAAGCCCCGTCCTGGCCTAGCCATGCGTGCGGTCGCACTTCTTCTCCTCTTAATGAAATATGTGTTCAGGCGTTCGTGAAAAAAATCTAATAATTCTAAGTTAGCATCCCCTTTTGTTTATGGCATAAATTTATATATACTTGGTCACTTTATTGTGATCAGATACTAAGCATATAGATACACCAAAGCCTTAGAAACAAATATCAGATCCTTCATTTTAACACCGAATGGTAAACCCATAAAAAAAAAGGCGGCAGACCCTCTACTGGAATACTAGTAACTTTCTTAATAAACCAATACATGTTGAATCACAAGCAGGGGTTTACAATACCGGTAAGAAAAAAAAATCAGTCCCCAGCGATAAATACGAAATTTCAGAAATTTCGGAAATATCGGTTCAAATTTAAATAAATTTAAATTGAGTTTTAAACAAATTTGGCATCATTTCACTAGAAAAACACTATAATCCATCATCCATCATAAATTTATATAACATCGATGAAATAACATAATATATCACAGAAGTAGAGCCGCGGTAATACAGTGTGCTGACGGTGGGCGAGCTGCATATACTAATGCCGTCCAATGTGTGAGTGAGAAAATTAAACAAATTTGAAGAAATTTAGGGCTTTGATAAGACTAGATGATATGGAGGGTCATTTTAGTGTGGTTTGGTGTAATTTTAGAGTGAAAGATGAATTTAACCGAAAAATTTTGACCGATACAAAAAAAAATTCGGACCTCAGCGAAAAAGGCGATATTTCGCCGAAATTGTAAACCCTTCACAAGTCAATGACGTGATTCAGAGCTTGGAGAAATGTTTCTAGATATCAGAGAATATAGCATTAGAAAACTAAACTGCATGTGCAATGGTTGTTCATATACGCATCCAAAGTAATTAATTAACTCGATCAATTTTGAAGCTACTATTACCACATCATGCTGGTGAAATTAAGTGGACTTTTCTCCAAGAACAATACTGACTTCTGAAAAAGACACATGTGGTCCTCAAGTCTAAACCAAATAGTGATATACAGTATACAGATAAAAGATGTATGTGGTCCTCTAATTTCATCAAATGCCAATACTGTTTTCCCCTCAATAAAGGACAAGACAAGTCGTTGTTGAACTATCTTAAACATGAGCAATATAATTATTCCTAAAGTCATGGAACAAAACTTCCAATTTATATGTAATCTACTAGTTTCATCTAAACCAGTAGCTTCCCATCAGAGAGTCCCCAAAGCCCGTGCTCATAGTCACTTAAGCTGTTTCCATAAATTCAGCGTGAGCTATCAATACTTTTCAGCTCCACAAGACCATATATATAATGGCAAATCCATAAGGTACCTTAGCTTTATGGATACTATCCTATGGATACCAGATTACCGGTTGCCTATAACCATCCTATTGTTTAGAGGTCCTATGTTGAGGCTTTGAAAATCAAGTTCTTATGTTAAGACAGTTTTCTAATAGTCGGCTGACGTGATGACTCGTGGGAAGCTTCATACGGATATTAACTGTGGACCCGCTCCTCCAGCTGGCCGTACGCAGTCTGGACGCACATCTTAATTGGCCAAAAAAACAACAGCAACATGTTGCACACGTTGAAGTCCACATAAATCTCAGTTGCCTACTCGCTTGTGCCTTTTTTTTTCTCTTTTTCTGTCTCCAAGTCATGGAAGAGTACGGCGATATTTGACATATCAGATGTTGGCCGTCTAACATAGGTTAGCACTGGGTTACGCGACTTCTTTTATGCCAAAGTCCAAATAGGACAGAGAGAGAGAGACAAGAGGTTGTGGCCTGCCTTTATAAGCTATAGACTGCTAGCTGCAGGAACAAAGAGATCGGAAGAGAGAGAACTGGAGCCAGAGGGAAGTTAGAGAAGAAGAAAGGAGGGATTAGACCCCTTGAAAGTTAGCTAGCTTCTGTCAAAGAGGAGAGAGATGGTTAGGGGGGAGAAGCAGTCTGGTAGACATGAAGAGCAGTTAACAAGCAAGGTTTGGTATTTTTCTCGTTCTGTTTGTCTGTGATTTTCTGAAGAGTTTAATTTAGTTGTGTATTCAATTATGTATGGTCAGGAGTTCAGGACACAGTTTCTCTCTTTTGGATTATTGATTTATTGTTCTTGATCTATATATGTAAAGGGACTTCCTTCAGAATTGCAGTTTTCCTGGAATATATAGATATGATTGGAACTAGGATTAGGGAGACATATTCGGCTTCAAATTCTGATGTTGAAATCAATCAGGTGTCCAACTAAATATTAGAAACCACCAATTGTGGTGCATATGTAAATAGCACACAAAAAACATGTGGAAAAACTAAACTGGAATGGTCTCTGCCCCATGTATAGTTGGTCCTCAACATATTTATGGGCTTTAATTTCTTTGCTGTTCTTACAAAAACAAATTTCCATGCTACTATTGCAGATCAAAGATGATGGTCATACCCTGGATGGTAACTTGTTTAAGTCCTTACACGAATCAAGTTCAAGAAAAGAGGTGCCTAACTATTAGTATAAGCATATATATTCAATAATTCATTAACCATGCATGAAAGCAATTCATGCATGGCTAAACATGAGAGGATAAAATCGGTCCATTGTCCATCTCTGTTCAACAATAGTGCACCTATTTCAGAAGTCTAAGTACCTTATCCTGAAGTTTTTTCCCCCCTGAATTTTCATGAGAAGAGAAAACATAGTTTCTTCATGAGTTCTGTGTGTAGTTTTACCTTTTCTTATTATCTACTGCAGTATTCTGATCAACCGTTTTTGTGCCTTACTAGGCAAGCTCCCCAAGCCTAAAGGAAAGATCTGAAATGGACGAAGCACCAAATCAAACTTCAACTAATCATAACAAGGTCAGGATGCATTCTGATTATATCAATAATCTTCCGAGGTTTATACAAAGACAAGTTCATTATTATCATATGTGACTTGGTTAAGTAATGGCTACAGATCTCATAGTTGTGCATTTGTGTCTTCAGGTTGATAAAGATAAACTTGCATCCACAAGGGCAGAGATGGGTGAGGTAAGAGAAGAGAACAAGAGGTTAAAAACAATGTTATCACGCATTGTAGAGGACTACCGATCTCTTCAATTACACTTCCATGACGTTCTTCAAAAAGGAAAAGCCAAGAAGCTTGCTGACCCCTCGACCATCATGCCCACCGGCATCGAGGAGCCTGAATTCGTCTCACTGAGCCTCGGCACGAGCACAAGCATGCACAGGAAGGAAGAGAAGAATAGTGCTGCAGAAGGAAATGGGAGAGAAGACTTCATGAGTATTAAAGAAGAAGGCCTGTCACTTGGACTGTCAGCCTGCAAAGATGGTGCAACTAATAGCATTGCAAAGATCCAGCCCGATGTGATGACCTTGAGCCCTGAAGTTAGCTCCGAGGATGCCAAGAACGATGCCATGGAGGCAGCAGATCAGCAGTGGCTGTCAAGCAAAACGCAGAAGAACTTGAGGAACGTCGGCACGGAACCTGAGGATGACATAGGCCCACTGCCACAGGCCAAGAAGGCAAGGGTGTCTGTAAGGGCAAGGTGTGATGCACCAACGGTACGTAGACATAATATTCCATTTGAGAGAGATGTAATGCTTGCCTCATATGTAGTATATATTGGAGTAGCTAATGATACACGGAGATCAGATAACTGAACATGCAAATATGCTTTGGATTATTGATCAGATGAATGATGGATGCCAATGGAGGAAGTATGGGCAGAAGATAGCCAAGGGGAACCCGTGCCCCCGTGCCTACTACCGGTGTACAGTGGCAGCGGGATGCCCCGTCAGAAAACAGGTACATAATGCATGGTTTACATCAAACAATACTGCTCAATTCACATATTTGAAACTACACATGTTCAGTTCAAAGGGGAGTAAAATGCTACTGTCTCTGAACATGGAAAACCCGAACATACTAAACCCAAGTCTCCTTTACACGGCTATAATTTATTTATTCATCAGTTGAAAACAGAAGGGACTTTATTTAAGATGCACATAATTTAGTTGCTAGAGATTGACTTGGGGAAGTTAGGGGTGGATAACCGGGTACTGAATCTAGGCCCATAATTCTCTAAAAAAAAGTATCTAGAGAACGTGGGTTTGGAGTCAATGGATGGCCCGAAGTCTGCTTAGTCTGTACAATCATTGTTTGCGGTCTACGAGGCATTGAAATCGCAAGTGATTGGTTGACAACTTGACATGGACCAATGTGTAAACTAATAAACAAATGCTGACACTTATTATTAGAGCTCTGAAACCTGAATGAAGTGATCCAACCGCTTCCGAAGCCCCGGCTGTTTACTCTACGGGTTCTACTAATCTACCAGTACCACTACTACCAGTTGGCACTTGGCAATAGACGAGCTAAATTGAACATTAGGTCTTAGCTCACCCATAAATTGATCAGAATTCAGAACCACCACGCCACACAGAATCCAAACAAAAAACACGCATCTAATCGAACTCGTGAACCAAGGACTCGTACATTCGCACTGGCGCTCATCACGGATCGAAATTAAGGTCAGAAGCCACTTGTCAGAAGCACGAATGCACGATAGATAGGAGATCGAGGACTCGGGGGCTTACCAGATCGAGAAGATACGGGGAGGAGGCCGCGAGCGCGGCGAGGGAGCGCTAGGGAAGGCGACGCGCAGCCCGAGGCGCCCGCTTCCCACTCCTCTCCGTCGCGGCGGAGGCGGAACCCCGACTCCCTGAGCCCCCGAGGAGGAGTGCGCCCGCGCCTGGGGCGCTCCCAGCGTCGCCGGGCTTCCGGTTCGCGCGCTTGCTTACTGGACCTGCTGGTCCCCCCATGCGTCCATGGCGACGGCCGACGGCCAGTTGAATTTGAAGAGAAATGGGCCTTGGGAAGCCAGTGTTCGGAGAGAGCTGGACTGGTTCGCAGCCTATTCAGGCCCCAGAGGCCGGGTTCCATAGTAGTATCTCTCTTTTTTTTAAATGAAGTCCATTTCTTCTCCCATGGGCCTCGGCCCCAACTACTTAGCTGTAGTTCATACAAATTTCAAATTTAACTCTATATAAAAGAGTCCCCCCCGCCCAAAAAAAAACTCTCTATAAAAGAGTATCTCTATCACATTGAGGATCAAGTCTTGTTTGGTATGACTCCTTCCTCAAGTGGAACCAAAGTACTCGAGGAGAGAAACTATGGCTCCTCCTTTAGACCCAAAAACGGCTTCGACTCCTCTACTATTTAATAGAAAACGGTTCCTCCACCTAAAGTGTTTGGTATGGTTCCTCCACAAAGGCAGCTACTAGAGCCAGAGTCGTGTCAAACAGGCCCTAAGTGATCTCTTTTCCCTATAACAAGTGATAAAAGAGGATCAAATGCAAAAGACAAGCTCTAGCAAATCCCCTTCCCTATTTTTTATCAATTGAGAAACCACACCCTCAATCCCTCAAAGAAAGGGAGAGCTCGAACTACCACGGCGAGATAGAGGGAAGGGAAGGGAAGGGAGTCAGAGCATTATCGTTTTAATATGCTGTAGCATGCATTCCCGGTATCTCCTATAAGTTAGAGGGGATTCTCCTACAAAGAAGTTTAAGGGAAAGGGAAAATAATATCCGGTGGAGTTACTCTAAGTTATTTCTAAATTGATTGAATTTTTACCACACCAATAAGAATTCTCTCTTTCCATGTACCAGCCGTGTTTTTAGTTAATATATAATCTTTTTAGGTGATGGCCAATATATACTATAAGCTATGCTACAAAAAGTTGAATGTTCTATTATATCACGGATTCAGATCCGAGTTTTTTTTCTTGTATGTGAATTTTGCTTCTCTTTACACCTCATCATGAGAGCTTCTTTTCGCCTCTGGCGAGGTTAGGGTTTGGGAGTACTTGTGTTCTCCCAGAGGCCTTGAGGAAAATTAAGTGGTGGAGGTGTCATGGAAGGGTGGGCGCAGGAGGTAGATGACGGATGAGCCTAGTGGATGGGGACATGGGGTGGAGCCGTGGAGGGGAGGCGCCACTACAATTCAAAACTTTGGCGAGTGAGTGGATAGCAAGAGCCGTTGAAAAAAGTGGTAGTCATCTATTGGCATGGAAAAGAAAGAAGGATGAACTGAGGAGAAATGCTGAATCTAATGTCAAATATTTAAAATTTGATGTAGGGACCTTTGAATGCTCGAGTGTCACCGACCTAACCTCTATAAAAATATACGTAGTAGATCCTTTTCGTGATTGTTTTCATTGTTCCGAACATCTAGGGCATGTTAGCTTCTAACCCTGGCAAAAGTGCCTGGGTAAGGCAGCTCCACAGGCGGTCGATTTTCAGCGCTTGACGGCTGGATCAACCTGGCTATGTGAGCACCCTTAGGCCGCGCTGTGAACCAAACACACCCTTAATGTGTTGGATTCTCGAGAGGTAAGATACGAAAATATGAAAGATAACCACAAATAATCCTAAACATATTTTTCTAATATAAGCCATAATACAAACGACAATGCTAGCGCCCGAACGACGTCTAGACAGATGTGTGCGTCGCGCGTCCGGACACCCGCGCCTGCACTCCATTTTCACGCGCCTATGTAGGGGCCCACATCCGTCCGAACGTCGCCAGCGCCTCCTAACCCCACATGGAGACCGCTCGCGCCCCCTCTACTTCCCCCGCCCGGACGCCTGCTGCAGCAGGTGGGTCACAGCAGTAACACCCGATTTATTTTTGAAACATTCAGATGAAACATTTGCAACATACGCCTGAAGGACAAATGAAACACTTGAAACATCATCTAAAACATTTGCAAAAACACTTGAAAAAAACCATTGAAAAATATATGCAACATCTAGATAAAACACTTGCAACATATATGTGAAACATATGCAACATCAGGTAAACACACGTGCAACATACGTTTCAAAACAGATGAAATATTCGGAACAGACGTTTGCAACATACGTGTACATCCATTGCAACATATGAAACATCCTGATCTACTTTTGCAACATTCATATGAAACATTACAACATACCTCAAAACACTCGAAACATGCGCTTGCAACATTCGCTTCCAAGTACAACATTTACTTGCTGCTTGGACGAATGGAGGCTCGATAGGGCCGGCCACAAGATACTAGCAAAGATGTCGGAGGCGGCACACCAACGGCGATGAGCAAAGTTGAGATATCCTCCCAAATGAACGCGTCAGGTGAGATCGAGGGTGGCGAGGCGGACGCAGAGGTAGCGTGGTTAGCTAGCTGGAGGGCTACCAGGGACGGCTCACCACGGTTCCTGTCCTGTGGCCGCGACGAGCAGGAAAAAGGGGGCAACAGCGAGATATGCTCGTCGAGCATGCACAGGGGGAACTGCAGGCCTCAAGCGGCTAGGAGTGCGGCGCGAGAGGGCCAGAAGGAAGGGAGTAACGGCGACCAGGGAGCTCCGGCTCAAGGGGCCTCTCAGACAGCGCCTGAAAGCAAAGAACCGAGAGGAGAGAGAGAGAGGCACGACAAGAGAAGAGAGGCTAGCGCCACATCTAGATCTAGTCGGGCAATTTCTCGATCTTCCCTGTTTATTTGTGAGGTCCACCAGAATAGGAACGTGAGAGAGAGGGGAACAAGCATATTGGGCTCCGCAATCCCAGGAAGCCACGTCGAGAACGACGGACGCCTCAAGGAGAGCATTACCGTAATACAAATTTTGAATTTAAAGCTCAACTTGTATAGTCACAAAAAAAATCACTAGTGAATTGGCATAGTTCTTGAGGATCCAATGAGTGTATGTGCACATGGTATTCGATCAAGGCCCGGGAGATTGATACGCTGCTTTATTTTGATTGTTTATTATACTACTATGAAACTAGCCAGATGCTGCTTGGTTGTGGCCTCATTAATTTCCTGCAAGCAAGTCACCACGAATTTTCATGCATGAGCATGACACACCGTGCATGTAACATTTGCAGGTGCAGAGGTGCGCGGACGACATGTCGATCCTGATCACCACGTACGAGGGCACGCACAACCACCCGCTCTCCGCCTCCGCCACCGCCATGGCCTCCACCACCTCCGCCGCGGCGTCCATGCTCACCTCGGGCTCCTCCACCTCCCTCCGCTTCCCCGCCGACTCGCCGGCCGCCGCCGCCAGCCTCAGCTTCGGCTTCCCTCCGGCGGCGCACGACCCCTCCAAACATTTCTTCCTCCCGACCGGCGGCGCCGCGTCCATCACCTCCACGCCGTCCTACCCGACCATCACGCTCGACCTCACCTCGCCGGCTGCCACCTCGCAGGCATTCACTCTGGGCAACAGGTTCTCGTCGAGCTTGGGTCACGGCGGTGCTAGGTACCATCATCCCACGAGCTTCTCCTTCTCCAACTCCGGGCCCAGCGCGCTGTCCGGAGCTGCATGGCCGGCGGCTGGTGGTGCTGGGTACCTGAGCTACGGGTCACCAGCTGCGTCGTTGTTCAACGGTGGCGCTGCACTGAGCAGCATCAACGGAAGGCAACAAGGCGGGGAAGTCCCCGTGCTCTACCAGCCGCAGCAGAAGGCGGCGGCGGCGGCGGTTACTGCGAGCGGGAGCGCACCGGCGGGCGTGCTCACCGACACGATAGCGAAGGTGATCACGTCGGACCCGGGCTTCCAAACGGCGCTGGCGGCCGCCATCACGTCGTACGTCGGCACCCAGGGCGGTAACAAATCGTCGGCGGGAGGAGAGGGCGGGAGCCAGCTGCAGGGGCTCAAGTGGGGACAGCACCTCGGCCTGGGGCCGTCGCCATCAAACGCGGGCGCGGCGTGCTCGTCGGCACTGCTGGCACGGCCATCGTCGACGACGGCAGCGGCAATGGAGCAGGGTTCCAATGGGCATCGGCCGTTCCTGCAGCCGTCGCTGGGCTTGTCAGGTTCTCACAGCACCTCCACCTCTCCTGTGGAGAACAGGGAGCACTGATCGCATCAGCTGAAGATTCTGAATGTATTTAGGTCACTTCGTTCAAATATTTTTTCCCTTTTCAACATTTGGTTATTTCAGCATTTTGTGTACATATACTGGGGTGTCACTTTAGAGGATAGATATCCTGACTCTCGCTGTAAGGTAAAGAAATTGTTTTGATTCACACGACACACATGTAAAACAAAGGATTGAATTTATCTTTTTTTTTTTGACGAAAGGATTGAATTTATCTTTGTCCAGTCTTTCCTTCCCTGAGTTAGCAAAATGTGAGCTGATTATGAGACATCAACACAGTATTGAATTATAATCAAATACATACCTGCCTTCTCCAGAATGAGGATCTATCTACAGTTTTTTTTCTTCTTCTAGGTTATATAAATAAGACCTCACGGTGTAGGATCACCAGATGACTCCAGGAATCCACGGTATGGGATGTGTTCACATTTGGTGGCTTGTGCTGGAATGCCAAACTATACCGTTCCGAACAGTAGTACCATGGAGTTACAGACTAAAAACAGCATGGATGCACCAAAACAATCTCCATGATGATTGTTGACAGCTTCAAGTGTGAACAATGTTTGCTTCGACTTTCACTTGGAGATGATCCTCATAAACCGACTCACAGAACTAAACACGCCCATGACATTGTTCATCAATGATGGTGCCTCTTCAGATTGCTCATCCACACCACCAAATATTCTCTGCAAAATTACAGTACCGTTATAGTTTTTAAATTTAAGTTTGGGAAAATACAAACTTTATTGCTGAGCTAAGGCTACAGCAGCATATGTAATCAAGTATTTTCCTACCAGGAACATGTTTTTTTTAATAAAAAAGTGGCGTTCTCCAGTTTGTGTTAAATGTCAGTAGTTTAGCTGATTAATGTACTGCAGCCACAACATACTGTCTAGAGACCGAGAAATGCTGACTATTGGATACTTTTTAGTTCTTATAGCAGACGCATGATTTGACTCACTTTTTCAACAGTGCAAAGATTCAATTCAACAGTGCAAAGATTCAATACTGTCTAGAGACTGAGAAATGCTGACTATTGGATACTTTTTAGTTCTTATAGCAGACGCATGATTTGACTCACTTTTTCAACAGTGCAAAGATTCAATTCAACACAATTGCTACCTCCAGTCAAGAATAGATGGCATTCAGACAAGCAGCAGCAGAAGCAAAAAAGTTGTTTTGTTTCTCTGAAACATCATGTTTCCATGACTGGAGGAACTCACTAAAAAGGTAATCATCAAATATAAACAAAAAAAACAACAAATAAGGTATCTGTCAGTATCTGTGCCTTACCTCAATATCAGTTGCATCGGGCCTACTTGTGAGTTCTCTGGCAAGCAAATACCGATTTGGCCTATTTGGATCATCATAAAACACTTTCCACTGCCTGTAACGTAAATAAAGAAACATATGCCTTAGCTTATTCTTTTGGATCATAAATGAATGGAAATGACAATAGTTATCTACTCACCCTGGAAAGCATCTAAAGACTGCACCAGTTGGCAATGGCCTCATTGAGTAAACAGTGGTAAAAGTACTGCAAAGTGAGTGGTGGATGTAGCAAAAGTAAGGGAAAAATCAACATATAATAAGCAAACATGCTCAACCCAACGAGACCTTGAGTCAACAATGGAAAATACATGCATTTAATTAATTGTATAAGATCTAAGGAAGGTTTCTCAACCCCATGTGTTGACATAAAACAGTGGATTAATTATTTCATTAAATGCCTTTTAGAACATATAACTATCCGAGGTAACATATGATTTATGGGTACAACTGCTGTAGTTTAGGACATATCAGTATATTTCACAAAAGAGACATCTCAGATCATATTCTGGCCTCAATAAGCATTATATCTATTTGCTGAAGCAGAATAGTTACACAATAATGACATGCAAAAGTTTACAGATTTTCCACTTGATTTACCTTAAGAAATTTCTGCGCAGATTCCGGACATTAAAGCCTACTCCAACATCTCCACTAACAAGGCGTGGGTTCCACATGACAAGAGGTCTTATCTTCATTAAAAAGTAGACACTACTTGAGGATAGCATCAAATGAAATATATATACAAATACGAAGATGGCTGCTGATCAAATTCAATGTTAAATTAATGTAAATAGGGATGGATGGTTTTAGGCATGAAGATTCGCATTTGTTCTTTCATGAAATGGCTATACATGTAGGTGGAATAGACTAATCTGCTGGAGCAGATGCATTTAGAACCTGCATAAGCACATGCATACAGGGGCGGATCCAGGAATTCATCTGGACCAGGGCTAGGCCAATGTATATTGATCTGGGATGAATCTAATTGGGTGGATCTGGAACTTTGTTAGCCAATTTGCACTATATACATGGAACACATGATTGATTTATGGTCTGGATCTGGATCTACCACACTGCATGCATGCCCTTTATCCTAATACTCCTGTGCATGTAAAATTTATTCTACCAAATCTGCTTGGAACATTAAATGAAATTTTATATATATATATATATATATATATATATATATATATATATATATATATATATATATATATATATATATATATATATATATTTCGATGCAAGATCTGCAGATATTTGCAATCTGATCAGGCATAAGTTGCATACAGGATCATCAGAAAGTTGAGACGCGATGCGTTCAACAGCTTCCAACATCTGATGATCAGGGATAATCATAACTGCGACCTCATCTTCAGGATCAACTGGCTTCCGGTCACTTAAGCTGCAAGTCAAGTCAAAAACAGATTGAACATTTGAAATAACAACCTGAGTACTATTTAATGTCATAATCTGGACGCATCCATAAAGTTTCTTCTTCAAGAACACAAAAATGAGTCAGAATTCTGTCCTGCCATGTCCAGTAAAATGTGGCATTTGCAACTAGAACAAAAGGTGAACTGTACAATTTTTGGTAGCTAGAAAATTAACTGTTCCTAGTTTCGAAAGAAAATCAATTGTGCTTTTCAATTGATATCGGTAGCATGTCACTTGTAGTCAGAAAATCATGAGATGCAACAAGTTACATCAACTTGGTATGAAACCATCACTTCTCAGCGGATAGTACGTTAGTACCTGGCACACTTGAATTGTGCATCTTTCCATTGATACTTGAGAAGGGCAGCTGCTCCAGCGTCAGGGAAAATGGCGGTAACTTTCTGCAAAACAGCAAGTGGAATCAGAAACAGACAAATACATAAATCACAAGAGGTCAAGAGCGAAAAAATTTGCAAAGTAGTAATCTGTAGTCTCAAATATCAATCAGGGCGAGAGTGGTGCAATTTTAAGCTAGAGAGAGTAAAAACCATGTCTAATGCTGAAACGACCTTGTATCCAAACCTGTCCTGTCTCTTGTACAAGCGTGTCCAGGAAAATCTTTGACAATGCCCAGAGTTCAGCCTGTGCTCCTTCCTCGTTGAGGAACTCCAACTGAGGGATCAACAGCTCTGCCTGCAATATTGACATCACCAATCATAAATCCTCAAGAATCGTATGGTAAAGATGCATAATCAGAAGCTCAGCAAAAAGAGAGTACTTCTATAATTCTGTCACCATTTATACAGCATTACAGCAGACACGATTGAGCCGAATTACAGAAGCAACAATACGCATGTGCAGTATGCACAGTGAGAATCATACGATAGCTCGCAGGCCTCCGGAGTTGACGAAATCAGAGCTCGCCTTCCCCGACTGCCGAATCGCGCCCTCCAAATCCGATGGCAAGCAGCTGAACCACACAGACACAGCAAAGGCCGCCCCAGAACGTCAGCATCTTTTGTGTTCTCAATTACGCAGGCACGAGTTGAGGGTGCAGTGAGCCTGACCTGTCGTCCTCCTCCACAGGCTGCGCCACCCCACCGTCCGCCGCAGCTTCCGCCTCCTTGGCCTCCGCGGGGGCGTCGGAGGCGTCGAACTTGCCGAACTTGGCTGTACAAGGTGGCGGCGCCCGGCGAAGGCGCATCCGCTTCGCTGGCACGTCGAGGTGGGATGCGAGATGTAGGGGGGGCGGGAGGCGGCGGGGGAGATGGGCAGGGCGAGCATGCTGGGGCGAGAGCAGGGGCGCCGTAGTCGCCATTGCTTGGCGCCGAGACCGTGTGAGGAAGACGTGGCTGAGAGAAGCGGCTGCTCTGCAGCTCCTCGGATAACGCATACTGGCTCGGTCCAAAAAAGAAAAAATGACTGTTATTCCCACTCCCAAAAGTTAATATTTTTAACTTTAACTGAATATATAAAAACTATTAATATTATAATAAAAAATAAATATCATTAAACTAATTATAATATATATTTTTTATAGTAGATTTATTCAGAGATAAAAATATTGCTAATATTTTTTATAAGTCTAGTTAAATTTAAGAAAATTAACCTACATGGAACCTAAAGCAACACTTATCTTGAGATGGGTAGTAGAAACGGGGTTCCATCAATGTCCCGTCTGATAGAAATTGAGTAAAATACGCAGCGGTTCGTAAATTTGTACCGTATTTAAGTCATCAACCCTTTAAAATATATATTTAGGTTCTAAACTTTCGAGATACTATTTTGAAGTCTCTGAACTTGTCTCATTGTGATTTATCTCGGTATGTCATCTAGGTCTCTAGGGGGGGCAGGGCAGTCTGGCCAGACAAATACGAGGACTGGCAAAATGTGTGTGTGTGTATATATATATATAATATAAAAATTCATATAATCATAATGTTTTTTATGACAACACATAGAAGTGACTCTTTAGAAAAGAGGACAAAAAAAACCTTACTTTTTTCATTTGAGCTTCACTTTAGGTGTTTTCATGGCATAGAAATCGTCTATAATGGCATCGGTTGTAAATTATACTGCAAATTCTTTCTCAATCTAGAATGATACAAACTGAATTAAATTTTTGCACGGATGATCAGAAGTTGTATCGTATAAATTATACTTACTTTATGGCTGCTTAGCTGCTTGCATCTGCAGACTTGCTGCTCGCAGTGAATCAATGCCTCGGTGGTGCTCGCTCCGTAACTCTGTCGTTCGGGCTCGGCTGCTGCAGACCTGCGGTGCTGCCTGCTCGTCGCTCGCCTGCTCCAGCGAGCCAGCCGCGACGCCGGCGATTGGACGCGGGCACGCGGCGACTGCAGCTCTGCTCACTGCTCTCGCCTGGCCGATGACGGCCTCCGCGCCGGCGATTGGACGCGGGCACGCGGCGACTGCAGCTGTGCTCACTGCTCTCCGCCTGGCCGATGTGATCGTGCGGAGAATTGGAAGCGACGCAACTAGGCGAGTAGCGAGTTAGGCGAGGCGCTGATGTTTCCTCTGCGACCTTTCTGCTTCCATTGGTAGGCTTGGGCCACTGAGCGCTGAAGGGGGGGTTCTAGAAAAAATTGCCGCGGGGGGGCCGCGGCCCCTGCCGCCCCACCACCACCCCCGGGTTCCGCCTCTGGCCATAGTGTATTATTTTTGTCTAAAGAAACATGATCTACTCCGCGTTTCGACACCATATGCATAGCGGTTGGATACAGACCTTATTCTTGACTGGCAGAAACTTGATGGTAAATCAATGGTTCACCTACCTCTTTCTTCTAAGAAGCACTAGCTTTAATTATGCAGTTAAGTCTGGATGATGATGAAGTCATATGGTGGAGATGGTGAGTTAGCAACGGTAATGTGCCACACTAGAAGAGAGAGAACATGTAGATGGAGCCCTAGATACTAGCATGTGAGTTGATTGGAGCTCATCCGGATCAGATGGTATACTGTGACAAGTTTAAGAACCTAAAAATAAAATTTTAGGAGTTCTAGGCCTGGATGACACATCAAGACAAGCTTGGATACCTGAAAATACATTTTGAGAGTCCAGGACCATAACACAAGTTTAAGGACTTCAGAATCATCGCCAAACAAGAAAAGCTGAAATATGGGGGCCATTGATAATGGTGGGCTTTCTTTGAATTCTATGTCTTCTGTATTGTGGTGTAGCCACAGGACTTCAACAGGAGCAAGCTATATAACATGGTACATCATGTTTTGCTATCAATATTTCGCTACTCTAGTTGTTGCAAGCGGTTGCTGCAGCCTCAGTTTCTTTCCCAGTCGCGAAAGATTTGCCGCACCCACAGGTTTTTGTTGCGTTTGGATTCTGGAAAGAGAAGCCACCACCAATGAGCGCGTCACTGTAGTCCAGCTCCATTCCAAACATGAAAAGAAGGCTTTTTGGGTCACAGACTGCAGAACCAAAGAAATACATGCTGTTAGAATTGGTTCATTCATCAGTTCAGATGGAAGTTCTTAAAATCTGTCTATAAATGTATGCCATTAGAATTGGTTCATTCTATACAAGTCGCAATCAGTTGAGATGGAAGGTATGAAGAATTGCCTATATTACAGCAGTCAGCAAGTGTTAGGAAGCAGGACATGAAGTCCTAAAGTAACTTCACAGGTGCAGGAGGAAGATCTCGCTGACCTGTTAATCTGTTACTCTATCACGTTCACTTAGCATGCCATGCAAATCAAATAGGAAATGCCAAGTTTCTTTTCGCTATTAATGTATTATCATCTCCAACAATCCTACTTAAAAGCAATAGTAACTTTTTGAGCAATTATATTTTAGAGTTCAACCAAGGCAGAAGCAACACTGAGAACTCTGATATTCAAAGGCTGAATTCTAGAAACAGTAACCATTCTTTAAATCCTAATATAAGTACTGCATCATAGCCAAGTGGCCCGGGAAAATATGATAAAAAAAAATTCGGTACGGGGTTCCAAATGTTACTTCTGTGAGCAAGAGGAAACTGCTTCTCACTTGTTTTTTTAATACCATGTGGCATGTGTGGAGAACCATAGCCAAGTGCTTTGGTGCTGTTAATATTCACATGAACTTGCAACAATACTGGCCTTGGGTTCAAGAATAGTGTATGTGTTGGGTGTTGCAGTAATAAGCTGGGCTATCTGGAAAGCCCAAAACAGGGCATGATTTGAGAATAAACTGATTAAGAATCCAGTAGAGACATGCTGGTGCAATCTTGGGCAGGTTTATATCCAGATGAAATGCAGGAGGTGGTTATGGAGGGAGTGTGGACAATGCTCAACACCGCTACGCAGCTCCTGGTGCCGATGCCTACATCTGGTACAACTTCGCCTCCAGAAAATCAGATCCATGAAGGCTCCAGTGCGTGAGAGGGCAGCAAAAGGAGCTGAAACCTGGAGGTTGACAAAGCAGAGGAACTAGCAACACGTGAACCGGCGAAGTGAGAGTTCATGTCCAACTGTAGGAAAAAGACTTGGTCGTTTGGTTGTTTTGGTAGCCAGATTGTTTTGTGGTAGCAGGTTTTGTACTGTTTGGGGTCTGCTTAGTTGGTAGCTTCTATCTGAATCAGGTAGTTTAGTGCCATGTTGCAGGCTTGGCCTTGGTTGATTTTGTTAGTGGCTTCCTGTCTAGTCTTTCTTTCCTGTCTAATTACTCTAAACACCATGTTTTTTCGCTGTGGTTAATGGAAATGGGGGCCATCCTCACTCTAGAAAAAATATATAAATAGTGCATATCCAGGTTAAGGCAGTTACCTATTGCAAAACCATCATACTCTACAACAGAATCATCAGGGCTGGCATTTGCTCGACTTTCAAACTCCATGGTGTAAGACATGCCTGAGCATCCACCCTGTTTCACTCCAATTCTCAAGCACAAATCTTCGTTCCGTTCAGCCCTCATTTTGTTCAGATGTTTCAAGGCCTTTTCAGTCAATGAAATTGCCGGAGCAATGCTACCAGATGTTGCTGCTGCCGCTGCTGCTGCAAAAATATGATCAATCATTGACTTAATGTTAAATGGAGCATGAGCAGAATTGTGTGCATGATTTTGCGTCATGTTAAACGACGTAGTATAAATAATTGATGTCCACTTCAGTCTATAGCTCCACGGTCGTGTTTGTTGGCAGTAAAAATGTTCATGGATCGATGTTGTTCTCATGTTAACGACAAAATATTGAAGTTCAGTTTGAACTACCACTGACCAATCATGAACATCAGAAACAAAATGCTTACTGCAGTGACACTTGCAACTTTTGTAATGGATAAAACATGCTACTAGTTGACAATTATACAGGTCGTGAGTATTGTATTTGCACATTACCCATAGCTTTAGAAAGGTGAAGTTTTACTTGTGGCTTGAAGAAAAAAAGGAAACAAAATCCAGGTAACCCCAAGTAAAACTGTCATGTACGACAGTCCTTGGGATTTATAAGATTATAAGATAAGATGTACTACTTGGGAACTAGTATGTCTGAGGCTTTCTACTTCTCGGAAAGCAGTGAAGTTTAAACCTCTGTGATTCAAGGATAAATTGAATGCGGATAACCTGGCAATGAAAGAAACAAGGTCGAAACTGCCAAGGATTGAACTGAGCACTACGGTAGCCAACAGAAAAGCTAATTCATATTAACGCAAAAAGGCAATTTTCTCGACTGTAGGCGAAAGACAATAGTAGATTGCGATATGCGTGCTTAATTGGAATCCTGTTGAAGCAGAATATATCTTATACTACTGCTGACAGCCGATTTAAAGCATTTCATAATCTCTGCGGCTACGAAGCTAAGCTTGCACTGAAAGAGTCTTGCACGTAATATACCCATATCGAGTCATCGACTATCGTCCCTGTGACTGTGACCGTATCCAAAAGCTAGAGCATAACACGGATCAAACAAAGTTCAGTTTTCATACGTCTCCTCCACAACCCAAACCCAAATCATTTGCCAAGAGCATAACCCAACTAATTCTAATTATTATTACGCGGGGGAAAAGAAACACCTGGGCTGACCACGGACCTGGAGGCGCGGGGGCGCGGAGGGAGACGGCCGCCCTGCTGCCGCCGCCGGCGCCCACGCCGGCGCCGCGGCGGAAGCGGATCGAGGAGGCGGGGGAGGATGAGGAGACGGCGAGGTGGGGCCGCGCGGTGCCGGCGGGGCGACCCAGGAGCGGGCGGGACGTGCCGGAGGCGAGCGCCATGGCGGATTGGTGTGTTTGGTTGGGGGAAGAAGCAGGCGACGCGGGGAGGGACGGAACGGGACGGGAGAGGAGGAAGCGAGCCGAGGAAGCAACAGGAACAAAGATCTGGTGTGGTGGTGATCAGCGCCTCAGCGGGCCGCCCAGATTCGTGGAGGCCTGGAGCTTTTTCGCGTCGGCCTCAGTGGGCCGCAGCGAGATATTTACCCCATGCTGACGTCTACATAAACCTGAAGGACTAATAAGCCGTTAAATTGCAAAGTTAACAAAGTCATCACAAAAATCTCACCGTGCATACTTGTCTGTTGTGCCATATACAAGATTCCTCTATATGCTGTGGTGTATAGGAAGATGGTAAATCATGTGTAACCTAACTTATTATAAATTGCTGGCTTCGATTAAGTGAAGACAAAAAAAAAAATGGGGACATTGCGGGGCAAATTGGTGTGGTGTCTTTGGATACCCTTTTCGCCCTTATCTCATCTAGCTTGGTAAAATCTTAAACGGTGAACATGTGTTTGGATTTCTCATCAACTACATCTTTACTTGTGAAAAACAAAGACTTCCTCCACGGTTCCGGATAGCCTTGCCCAGCAAGGCGAGGGCAGGCGACAGGGGCAAGGGAATCAAGCAAACTCGTTCGCTCGCCTGTTGGACTCATTCCGAGCGAAGCTGCTAGCCTTGCCAGGGCCGGAGACCAAATTTGACTTCATAAAAAAAAGGCTTAAGAACACAAGAATCAAAAGCCATAAGCAATCAAAACAAACACCTCTATCTTTAACCATCTAGGCAAGGCAAAGGCCCCCGGTCCAAATAATGTCCTCATAGTTTCCCCAAGGTTGACATGCCGTAACCACTCGGTAAATAATGAGGGCCTGTGTTTTTGTTGTCACAAAAAAACAAACCAGCTCTTGGTTTGCTCTTTTGTTTTTTTCCAAAAAAAAAACTGTACAAACTGCACAAACAAATCAACTCTTAATTTACTCTTTTTTCAAAAAAAAATATATATGCAAACTGCAACACGATTGCCATAAAAGAAGAATCAGTTCTTAGGTCTATGATCCAATTATTACTTGTTGTTTCAACACTTACAAAAATATACAATACACATAAATGATGATGTATTTTACTATACCTAAAAGTTTACAATAAATGGTTTAAATCACGTGGTTAAACCTAAGTGTTATTATGATATAACCTCCCAAGCAAACACGCCGTTAAACAAACGATGACTTTTTGAATAATAATTCTCTAGGGTCCCATATATATGCATGATGATCGGCCTCTCCCTTATTTGAAACCTTGAAGTTTTTTTGTCACCCTGCAAGATTTATCCACTTTAGTGTAGTTCCTTTTAAAGAACAGGCATGATTTTGCTGTAATAACAAACTAAAAATTATATATATAAGCTCTCTCGCACACCAAAATTGCCAATAATGACATCACCTACTCGTTAATTAACCTGCAAGAAATTAATGGGATTTGCTAAATTTCAGATGCCTGAATTTTAGTTTCCTTTCTCAACAACATTTATTGCATATATTTTACACTAAAATTGTAGTTTTATTACATTGCAATTTCAGAGAGACACGATCTCGCAATTTTGATTCTCGAGAATAAAAACCAGCTTAGACAAAACCAAAAATCGACAAATTCTTATATGTGTTGGCACAAAGACAATTTAACAATTTACAATTATTCCTATAGCCAGACAAGGACAAAAAATTGATATATATGACACAAAGACAAAGAACAAATCACAAAAGTGACAATTCACTTGTACTAATTGGTAGTACAAAAGTATTGCTTGAAATCATCTTAAAATCCAAGCACCTAAAATATAGTAGAAGTGGAAATTAATTGATGAGTACATTGCGATATATTTAGCAAAAATCTGATTAATATAAGCCGACATAAAGAACAGGTAACTTGATCTCTTACTATTCTCAAAAAAAAATTGATCTCTTACCGCACGGAGTTTCGTCAAGCATATATGTACGTACTCGTAGTTACTTAAGTGCACAAGATGTCAAGATCCATCGATCATGCACCAAGCAACAGAGAACTTACATCAATCGTTTCTCTTCTCTCTGACGACGTCACGGATGACGAAACAAGGCAAGAAAACCGCCAACGGCGGTGACAACCGCCATCGCCCACACGGCGGCGGCAGTGGGCCAGGACGGCATGGCCGCGGCCACCTTCCACGCGAACAGCACAGTGAGCAGCGTGCAAAGCGTCCAGACCTCGCGTTTCACGCGACGCCTCCTCCGCCTCCCGTCGTCGTCGGCCGCCCCGGGCGGCGGTAACGTTAATCGCTCGTAGGCGCGGAGGCTGCGGAAGAGAAGCAGCAGCGCGGCGTAGCTGGCGCCCACGAACGCCGTGGAGCCGACGTCCCCTGCGGCTGCGGCTCTGTAAGCGGACACGCCGGACGTCAGGGTCACAACGGTCAGGTCCGTGAAGGCGAGAACCGTGCCATCGGCGCCTCCTCCTCGTCGTTCCATACCGAACTTAGTCGAATACTTGATATCCTTACAGCAGGCGGCGATGAAGTTAGCATGTATTTCCTCTATATATATAGGCCAAGAATGTAGAATGGTGCAGTGCCGTGCTCTGCAAGGTAGAACTCTCTCGTGTCGTGTCACTGTCTGTCCCGTGTCCCAAAGCGATTACAACTTGGTAGCCAAGGCATCCGCATCCATATACCGTATCGGTCAACGGCCAGAGTCACGTACGCACGCACGCATCCCTCGGAAGATCCTTTTCCGGCTACGGTCTGTCTGCGGTACGGAAGTCAAAGTCAAAGTCCAAGTCGAGTTCGTTACTTCGTTGTACCGCGATTGCGGCCTTGCGGGGCAATATATAGCAACGGCCAGGCCTTCCGTCGAGGCCACGACCAAAAGCGTGTTTAGTTCCAAAAGAGTTCCAAAAAAGTGCTACAGTATTCATCACATCGAATCTTACGATATATACATGGAGCATTAAATATAGATGATGAAAAAAACTAATTATACAGTTTGATGGGAAATTACGAGACAAACGTTTTAAGCCTAATTAGTCTATAATTAAATAATATTTGTCAAATAAAAACGAAAGTAGTACGGTAGCTAAATTCCAACCTTCCCTCCGACTAAACACAGCCCAAATAAACCCGAGCCCGACGGCGGCGCTGCTCGACCGCGCGCGCAAGATGGCGGAGATCGGCCGCCTCGCGCGCATGATGGCGGAGAGGGGAAGACGAACAAGCGGCGGCAACAACAAGACGGCGGCGGCATACGTGCCTATCAAGATCAACACCAAGCCAGTGGGGCCGGAGATGAGGAAGACCAAGCTCTCGTGGAGGTGCCCGAGGACCTCATCCTCCATCTCATGTGGGAGAAGGCGTGCGCCCCTCGCCACCTCTCCGAGCAGCTGATCAGAGTCTACGAGAAGGCTCGCGCCATCATCAGGTTGACCCACCGGCACGTCGATGACCTGATACTGCAGTACACAAGATGGTTAACGATCTCCATGTCTTGAGCTGAGCCCCCGCTCCCGCTCACCGCCGGTGGCCACTCCGGCCCCGGCGTCCACCCAAACCCTCGCCGCTGGCCACCCAGGCCGCGCCGCCCACCAGCTCCACTTCTGGCGCCGTCCTCCAGCTCCGCTAGCCTCCCCGGTCCAGGCGCCGCCCGTCCCCACCCCTAGGGTGACTCCGACTATCCTGCCATGGAGAAAGGCTCCTCCTCCTGTCGCTCTTGGGCGGATGAAGCCGACGACGAGCTTCCTTCGCCGCATTCCCTTGGTGCGGGTTCGCCGGGGCTCCACTCGGACGTGGAGCCGGACGCTGCTGGCTTCTATCAGGTGCAGAGTCGCCGTCGCTCTCCTTCGAAGCAGTCGCGCCCTGTCCCGCCGGCCCTTGTCGGCCTGTGCTTTAATTGTCTGGCGAGCAACCACGTCAAGGCGGATTGCGTCTTCCCGCGCGGTGTTTCAACTGCAGGTGCGTGGGTCACCACTCGTTCGCATTTTCGCTGCCCCTGAGGCCCACTGGGGGCAAGCGGCGGCGCTCGCCTTCGCGACCGTTCGAGGGACGTCGGGTGGCCCCTCGACGACCGGCCGCCGGGCGGCGGCCTGTTCGCGACGTTGACGCGGACGACACCATCTCCGCGCGGTCTACTTCCACAGGTCGCTCTCCTTCAGTTCCCCGCTGCTGTGCCCCACCGACCCCGCCCTCCTCCTCCACTGGGGTCCCTGGGTGCCGGTGCCCGGCAGGCGGCTACGGCTACTCCGGCGACGGTGGGCAACCTCGGGCCCAACCAGATGTTCGCGGGTCATCCTGTGGACGCTGCGGCCACGGCTGTGACGGAGGCGCCGGCGGTGGGCTCACTGGGTCGCCCGGCCTGACCACGTCGCACGGAGTTCGTCATCGTCCCTCGCTCCTCCGAGCTACAGGCTGCTGAGGACGAGCTCGGGAATGCGCTTGTCGCTGTCGTTGGCGGTACCCGACCTCCAGTTTCGCCGGCCATGGTGCGCCAGTTCCTCCTCGACGGCTTCGGTGTGATGGATGATGATGTCAGGGTCCGCCGCCACGACCCCGAGGACTTCGTCGTTTGGTTCCGGTGACGCGAAGACAGGGATCGAGTCCTCGACATTCCGGCGGTTGGCGTCCAGTTTTCCTTGATCTGGCGGCCGTGGCGGAGGACATCCATGGCCTCCGGTGGATCTTTCAGGTTCAGAGTTCTGGTGGGATTGAGGCGCGTCCCCCTCCATGTGCGTAACGCCTCCACGGCATAGACTGTCCTGGGCCCTGCCTGTGCGGACATCGAGGTCGTTTGGCCGCGGGATGTGCCGGCCGATGATGGCCTTGAATTCTTCGTGGCGGCATGGTGCTTCCACCCGAGATTCATCCCGGACGAGTCGATCATCTTCATTCCGGAGCCGCGCGTTCTCAACCCCGTCGAAGCTGTGCAGGAGGAACTCCCTGGCCTGCGCTATCTGGTGCGGGTTCGTCTAGTTGCGTTCCAAGATTGGAATACACCGCCGGCTTCCCCGGATGGGGGCGACCACGATGACGGGGCGGATGATGATGGCGGCCCTAATGGTGACTTCGACCACCATCACCCGGGCCCGGGCGGTCCGGACCACGGCGACGCGACGCGGATGCAAATGACGACTCTGGCGATGGCAACTACAATCGTTTCCACCAGGGGATCGACTGCTGCCGCGGCCACGGGCAGGGTGCGGCTCCCGCCGGCACCGGTGTCGCTGGGTCGCTTGTCATTGGGTCCGTCGTCTGCCCAATCCGGGGATCTCCCCGGCTCACCGGCGTTGGCAACGACGCACCGAGGCCTGGAGTCCGGGCAGGCGGTGTGTTGCGCACGCGTCCCAAGGGTGCGACACCAGCTTCGGGTCCTGCGCGTCCGCGTGCCAAGTCACAGGATGGCGCGTGGCCCGAGAGCCTACAATCCAGCGTAAAGGTCGCCTGCTGGCTTGTCATGTCCGGTCGCCTGCTGAGGATCCACGAAAAGATCACCCAATGCGTTAGAAGTCACCTGTCTGCCCCTCAGGCCTGCCACGGCGGTCCCGCCTGCTGTAAAGCTGGACGACGACATCTCGCTCGTTGGTCGCCGCGTCGAGGGCAGCGAGATCCCGGACCGCCTGGGGAAACTCGCGTTGGTGGAGCTCGTGGGCGGCCGGTGCACCAGGTCTATGGACCCGGATGATACCCGGCCTGTTCGGGACGCCGTATCGTATCGTGGATTATTTCCTATTAACTGGTTTAGTGTGAGAGAAAAACACAGTTCTTGGCTGTAAATTTATGATCGTTTACGAGCTAGCGAACAGGCTGACCGCTGTACTCCTCCTGATGTGGCCGGCCAACAAGGCTACTGGGCTCCTGATGAAGAGCTCGCCCCGACAGGCCTCCCTTGACTCCGCTGGGCCACAACAAGGAGACTGCACCGGAAAATTACGAGCAGGCCTGGTCCTCCCCTCTTTCGGGCTCGAGCCGCCTGGAACCCACCACATGGCCTTGGAACTGTTGCATGGGGGAGACGTCGACCTCGATATGGACCCCACGCCGGCAGAGCATTCCGGTCTTGGGCCTGCCCATGCGGTGCGCCTATCCTCCATGTCTCCGACGTCGGGCATGATGCGCCGGCACAAAGCAACGTCGCGGACTTCATCGCCGCCCTCAAGAAACCCTTGAACGACCATCTGATCGCCACTGCGCCTGCACCAAGACCCTCCAGGCGGCCCATGCGCGTAACGGCCTGCCGAGACCCGGTGCCGGAGAAACAGGCGAGGCAGGTCTTGCTGTCCAAATGGACGAACAGGCCGTCCAACCCCCGCAGCTCCCCGGACGATGCTATCGCCACAAGGTTCCGCACAACATTCGCCGAACCGCTGTCGTCATCCAAGAGTGCAGCTATGCGGGAGCTCTTCCCCACGTGAGCTCCGCGTCGTGGACGTGCGGGACGGGAACGCCGTCGCGGTGAGAGCTTCACCGCCCACCGTCGCGCCTCTGTCTTCTAATGAGTACGAATCACCTACTTGTATGGAACGCTCGTGGCATCAATGGCCGAGCACGTCGTAGCGTCGTTAGAGAGTTCGGGGAACAACGGCCACGCCAGCATCACCGCGTTTAGCCGCTGCTCGGCGAACAACGGCCACGCCAGCATCGGCACGCCGTGCACCAGGCTCTCTAGCGTGGAGTTCCACCCACAGTGCGTCAGGAAGCCTCCGGTGGCCATGTGGGCAAGCACCTGTGTCTGCGGTGCCCACGACTGCACCAGGAGACCGACGTCCTTTGTCCTCTCCAGGAATCCTTCCGGGAGGTAGGCGAAGGGGTCCTTGTTGCTCTCTGCTGCATTGTAATAGTTGTCGCAGAGCGTGCCCTCGTCGCTGGGGCTGCGCACCACCCAGAGGAAGCGCTGCCCGCTGAGCTCCAGACCAAGCGCGAGCTGGTGCATCTGCTCCTTTGGCAACGCGCCGGCGGAGCCGAACGAGACGAAGATGACCGACCTGGCCGGCTGCCGGTCGAGCCACTCCTGGCACGCCGCACGCGGCGGAGATGATGGTGGAATCGCTCCGGACTGCCGTATCAGCGGGCCGATAGGGTACACAGGCGGCCGGCCGGGCTCTGGCTGGCGGAGCACCTGGGCAACCTCAGGCTCGACGGCGTGGAAGGAGTTGACGAGGATGGCATCAGCCTCACGGTAGCGCTTGGCGAGGTGCACCATCACCATGTACGACGGGTTGGACCTGTCCTGGACTCCTGGAGCGGCGAGGGTATGTCCGACCCCGGGACGGGCACGCAGCCGGGCAGGCGCACTGGCTCCGCGAGGTCCCGGAACTCGCCGGAGACGGACGCCGCGAGATCCGGGAGGCGGAGAACGAGCGAGAGCACGTGCAGGTTCATGGGCACGAAGAGGCAGCGCGTCCTGACGCCGGAGTCGCGCGCGGCGTCGAACGCGTCCATCCCGAACTGGTCGGCGACGAACGCGACGAGGCGAGCGGTCTCCCTGAGCTCCGAGAGCATGCGCGTGAGCGCGGGCAGGGAGCGCGCGCACTCCTCGGACATGAGCGTCTCGATGTCGGCGTCGCGGGGCAGGTCGGAGAGGTCCACCGGCGGGAGCGGGCGCGAGGCGACGGAGGGCGGCAGGGACGCCAGGAGCGCGCGCTGGGTGGCGGACGCCGTGGACGCGAACGTGATGAGCGTCGCCGTGGCGCCGTGCCGCGACGCGAGGCGCTTGGCCAGCTCCGCGAGCGGGATCAGGTGGTCCATCCCCGGCGTCGCCAGCATGGTCACGTGCGGAGGCCCGGTCTTCATGCGAGTGGTTTTTCCGGCCGGTGTTTGGAGGCGGCGGGTGGTTGTTGCGCGCGCACAGTCAGGAGACGGAGACGGAGGTGTGCTGCGTTTTTATACGCATGCAGCACAGGCGATCAGTCAAAAAGCTACTCTGACTTCGCTTTAAGCCCTCAATCATGGAGGGTCCTACGGCGGCTGCAGGCTGGTCGTCTGCATATGGCCGTGCGGTGGCTTCAGCCGAAGCTTCGGTCGTGACATAACGCGTGACCGTACGTCGTCACGGCCCACATATGCACGCATAACACATATCCCGAAGGGCCGAGTGAACCAGGACAGATCATCAGGCCGGCGTTGCCCGAGAGAATTTTTTTTGGGTGCAAGACCGGAAATTCTGCTCCCCGAGGGGATCGAACTCAGGCCGGCAAGCCCCAGCACCTGGGCAGTTGCCACCCGAGCTAGGCTCGGTCCACCGATAAAGACACTAATGTGCATCCAAAATATGATTTCACAAATAAGAGGAGAAAATCTAAGGCGAACAAAACAGCAATTTGGTTTTTCTCGTACCAGTTGCAAAAGATGAGGACCAGGGACGACATTATACTTGAATAGATGCTCGATACAAATTATAATAAGTAAATCTTTAAATTCGTAATTAAAAGTTAGAAAATGGTCTTATTTCCATTACTTTGAAAACCATGTAAACAAAACGTTAGTGTATCTCTTCTCTCAAGGGCTAAAACTATCACAATTATCTAGTGCTTAGTATGGAAGAGATATATAGTGCTTAATTCCATCAGTGTTACAATTAGAAAAAGATGTACTTATATTTGAAAGCACGAAACTCTTGGCGTGGACACCACCTATCTCAAATCAAACAACACTTAAGACAAAGATTAGTCCACTAGTTGCCACTCAATTACAAAAAGTAAACTACGACTTTCACGTCTAGAGTGCGCACAAATTATAGAAAAACTGTCAGAGGGTACAAAGATATAGAAAACGAATTTTACTCAAATGACTCTCTAAATTTATGATTTAGAGTGGAAAATTTAGATAGACTCTTGGAGATACTGGCTCCGTTCGCTTGTCTTAAAGTTTGGCTTATTCGGCTTGTTTTTCCAGCTGGAACAGTATTTTTCTCTCACAACAAATCAGTATTTTAATAAAGGTGTTTTTCAAATTTAGTAAACCAAAGTTCATACCAAATGACGGGCCACTCTATGAAGCCAATCGCTAAAGATAATAATTACCATATAATTAATTATTATGTTATTAATAATAATTCTTAATATTCTTACAGTATGCTGGAGGTCTTCTTTTCTCTCTTCACTCTTCTCCTTTGGTTTAGCCGTTTAGGCATGCAAAGGGAACATGTCAACCAGTTCGCCAACACAATCTGCTCCTAGAGACATAGATTTTTTTTTATTTTTTGTTTCTGAGCAAATCCTAGAGACGTACATAGGTGATTTTGTTGTAAAAATCTTGCTTTTGTGTGCTCCTCTAAGTTGCATCAACATCCGGGTTCGGATCGGGCACATTTTACCTGAAAAACCGAAAACCGAGCGAACCAAACCGAAATATCGGTTTTTCCGGTTGTTTGGTTGGGTTTCGATTTTAATTTGAAAACTTGGCTTCATGGTCGGCTTGGTTTCGGTGTTCAACGAACCGAACACCCGAATCAACCGAATCGCAATCGCTAGGTCTCAAATCACAGTGAGGCGTCGCATATCATCAAGCTACCAAGAGCCAACCAAAGGCCCAACATGGCCCAACGGTGAACGCACACCACTAAAGACATCGGTGAAACGGTGAAACCCTATCCTCATTCCCGGTCGTTTCGTTTCGCGCTGCGCCGTCCCCCGACCGCCGCTTCCCAGCCATGCAGCGCCGCCGCTTAACGCCGCCATTATGGTATCGGCCGGGCCCGCGCCACCGCCACCGCTTCGATGCGCTGGCGCCGGCGCCTAATCGCCCACGCGTGCCGTCCCCCCGCCGCCGCCTAGCTGCCGCGCTCCCAACGCGGTCATCAGCGCCCAGCCGCCGCCACGCGTGGCGCCAAAGCCACAGCAGCCACATTTCGCCTCGCCGCCGCCCTTCTACCGCGCCACCGCCGCCGCCGCCACGCCTCAGCGAGGCGCCATGGCTCGTTGTCGGCACCGCTGATCACCGTCTGTCGCGACTTAGGTGACGACGTAGGAGCAGGGCAAAGAAGGACTAGATCCTGTACGAGACCAGCAAATCTCTCGGTTGAAACCGAACACCGAACGATGAAATCAAACCGAAATCGCTCGGTTTCTTCTTCTTCTCTCGAACCGATCGGTTGTGACCTTCTCCAAAACCGAAGTTTTCCCAAACCGAATAACCAAACCGAATTATCGGTTTAAACCGAATGCCCAGCCTGAATCTGGGTGACGCAATGCCAAAGCCTATGCATTCACAAGGAAAAAATGTGAAAACAGGGACATATTTCAAAGTAAGACATCTAGTAGCAAGATCAATTGATTGGTTGACAAGTAAAGAAGCTGGAATTTCTAAACAGTGAATCAAAGTGTTGGCACAACCGAACGAATTACATGAACTTACAAGGTAGTTCATGAACCTGTGGTCAAGGGGATTTCGAGAAGTCCTACAATCAGGCCAAAAAAGCAATTTTTTAATCCTAGAAAGTCCCCACACAAGTCACATGATTTTTTTCACACAAAAATACACCGGCAGGATTCGAACCCAACATCTGTGCCCTTGCATGTAGCTCCTCTAAGCACTCTACCTCAAAGTCACTAGTGCCTATAGTGCATATACATTTTCCTCGTATTCACTTTTCAAGATTTTAAAATCAATATTTGGGACCCTAAACAAATTCAAATGAAAAAAAGAAATCATCCACTACAAAGTTGTAGTTTTCATAGAGATCTGCAACTTTGGTTTTGGTCGTTTTGTCATCCGAAGTGGTTTGACAATTTTGAATTTCAAATTGTGAGAACTTATACAGAGGGATTTATCGACTATACAGAATGAAGCAATAAACTATCGATAATGTTATGGGTAGGACGTCCATTTCGTCCGAACGCACGCGTTAGTGAGCCTCGGCCGCCTTGAACGACCCAATGCATAACACCGCCATCAAGACGGAAATAAAAATAAAAACTGCTGCTTCTCACCTTCTTCTCGAATCGCAATCTGCTTTCCCATCCATTCTCAAACAAACTCGCCACGGCCATGGGTTCTGTTCCACCGTGACCAAGCCGCCGCGACCACTCGCACCGCCACGGCCGCAATGCGCAATGGCGTCGTCGCACCGCCGCCAACGCCGCCACCGCTTTCTGCTCTCCCCACCGCCACTCACCACTGGCCGTCGAGTTCTTCGAGCCGACGCGCGCGTCCACGACGATCGCTTCCCGCGTGGCGTTTCTTCACCACGCCTAGCCACTTGCCTACCGCTATCGTCCCTCTCCACTACACCGAGCACCGCTTGCTAGCTACCGCTGTTACCCACCGTAGGCCATGATGCTGCCGGGCGCGCATATTTTTTGTTTCTGTGTGTTTGAAGTTGTTTTCAAGTGTTTCATCTGTATGTTGCAACGGCTATATACGTATGTTGCAAGTATATGTTTCAAGTGTTTCAGTTGTTTCAGACGTTTCATCTGACGTTGCATATGTTGCAATGGCTACACACATATGTTTCAAATGTATTTCCACATGTTTCATCTGTTTTAGATGTATGTTGCAAATGTATGTTGCAAATGTATGTTCCAAATGTTTCACCTGTTTCAGACGCATGTTTCATGTGTTTCATCTAGATGTTGCAATGACTATACAAGTATGTTTCAATAGTATACTACATATGTTGCAATGGTCGAACGGATGTTGCAGAGGAGATGAGAGGTTAGGGGGAGAAGGGCGCGCCGAGACAGCAAAGGCAAGCGAGGAGGCCTTGCTGGCGAGCTTGACGCCGGGGGCGCAACCGGGATAGGGTCGAGTCGCAGATGGTCGGACGCGGTCACTGGCGCGGGATCTGTCGCGGGCGGCCGGACGCGATTCGTTGGGGCGGGATCTGATGTGAGCGCGCGGGTGGGGGGGGGGTGTCCGATGCGAAGCGGTTGCAGGCGTCGGAGTTGCGTCCGGACGCGGGCCTGGGGCCGGACGTCCGAGCGCCAGCCCTGCCATAAACTATACAGGGGTATTAATCGACGGAAAGAAACTTCATTTGCAGGAACCAGCAGGGTGGCAAGCAAGCTGAACAATCACGAGCTGTAACAAAATAAAGCTGATTCACTGGTCACTACATCTACTACTGACTTACCGGCTTATCTTGTGGGGCGATAACAAATTGGGGCTAATTAACTAGCTAAGACAACAAGGGTGGTATCCTATTATCCTAACCTTGTTTTCAATGTATTGGTGTGCTGGTAGGCTCAGCAGTTGTCGATCGTGGTCGCCGCATCTACATGCAATGGCTCTTGGTGCGCGCGGTGGTCGAAGCAGTTCCAGGCTTCCAGCCCACTGCTGCTGCAAGAAACAAGAGAGCCGGACCGGTTAATTAGTTGGGACCGGCCGGACTGCCGGCTTCGTGCCGCGCGGAAGCAGGCAGGCAGTCCCGACGGCGGGGCGGCGGCGGCGGCGGAGGCAGACGTGCCGACGATCAACACCAAGCCAGCGGGGACGAGGAAGAAGACGAAGCTGGTGGAGGTGCCCGAGGCCTGCATCCTCAACCTCATGTGGCAAAAGGCGTGCACCCCTCGTGGCGACTTCCCAGCGTGGAAACCTAGGCCCAATGACACAAGCGTGGAGCTGATCCGATCCTATGAGAAGGCTACCGCGATCATCTACAAGAGCCACCAGCACGACGATGACCTGATATCGCAGTACATCAACAACGGGTGCGCCTACGTGGAGGTTGAGGTCGGAGACGACGAATGAGCATCGATTTATTAATGCAGCGCGCGTGTAGACAACTACTACAGCGTTGATGGATGATGGAGTAAGGAAAGCTTTTCTACTGTACAAGCGTCTTTATTAGCTAT